TTCTTGTCCACAATGTTGAAAACATCATAATACAAAGAAAAAAAACCTGTTTAGAAAAGCTGTGAGGTCTGAGGGATAAAGAAAAGCTCTGTCATCTTTACTTGGAACAGCACAGTCCACCCCACTGTGCTTCTGAGTGCCTGTTACCTCCCTCCACCAACTGTGGTCAGTTCAGTCTCGCAGCTCTGCCACCCACTTACCATTTGTTCCATTCAGGACCCCAGCTCCCAGTGAGGTAGGCAGAAGGAAGCAACAGTGGTCTGATGAGCAGGGTGGTGTTTGGTGTTCTAACACGCTCATTAAGGTCCTCGGAGTCTGTGATGAGCTCAGATCTGCTCAATTTTATGAATGAAGAAAGAAAAGAAAATGTCCTGTATTTTCTGCTGTACCATCCAGTTTGAATTCTAATCTCACATCCTATAGCATATAGCCAAATAACTAGTTATAGAGAGGAACGTGAAAGATAGAAATACAGTTTAATACAAAGCAAATTGAACAGCAGTAACCTCAACCCACAGCACCATTGGTGCATGTAGGAGGATGTTGGGTTTGTCTTCCTACTGCCATTTACAGTAAAGCTTGTTTGTAAGAAATAATAAAGCAAAAATGGGAGGGAAGTGAAGTATCACAATTACAGTATTGCTCAGAAACATTGCAGTTTGATTTTCCCAAAGTGCACAGCCCTAATTTAATACATGTACTAATATGTTTGTTTCACAACTGATATGATTATTCTTTCTGATACCTTACTTTGGCAGATATACATGTTTTCTACAAAACTAATTTTTCCCTTTTATCAAAAGAAGCTAAACTTCTCAGGTGTTAATGTCTAAACACATGGAGCATTACATCCATCCCTCCATCTATACGGGTTATCCTGAAGAGGGTTGTGGGGAGACTGGGGCCAGTCCAAGTAGACACTGGGCAAGATGCAGGGTGTTAGAGCATTACATTAGTGTGCAAATTGGCCGAATTCTGCTACAAATCGGCAAGCGTTAAGATGCCAGCATTCAGTCCTTGACAGGGTTTGATAACTGCTGACATTTTGGTCTGTACCAGAAAGTACTGAGTCTTTTTCAGAGTTGCAAAATAAAACTTGCAAAAAATGATTCCTAATTTTTATCTAATATTCCCTGCAATCACAACAGATTTATAGTAATATTCTTAAGTAAACCTAGAGTTTTGTTTTGGTATTTGTGTAATTTTCCTCTTCACAGTGTTAGGATTAGAGTTATTTGTAAGAGTTATGTTGCCAAGGCAGTATGACATAGGTCTGTATGAGCCATGAAAACTTGCTGCTTCTCATCATGGTTGCAGTGTTTATACCCAAGGATTGTGCACTCTGGTGCATGCTCATGTTTAGTGGAGGATGGCTAATCTCAGTTTAGTGTTTGCCTCAGTGCTTCACATACCTCTCAGCAGCATGAGCATCTGAATCATGTAGGAATCCTCTGTGATCCTGTTTGCAGCGCTGGATAAAACAGAGCCATTAGTTCTGGTGGCAGCTGTAAATCACAGACCTAGTACTGCCACTGGAAATCATTATTTGTCTTGCTTTTCTCTGACAGCACACACTTATGTTTTTTTTTTTTTCTCCTCCTAACCACAGTCGTTCCAAACCATGCATTGCACTACCCTGATTATCCCACACATCAGAGCCCTGTACCAAAGTTTCAGAAAAGAGGAGTCTGTTTGAATGCCCGCTAATTCTTTCCCTCGCTTCTTCTCCAGGCATCCTGTTTGTGCGGCTCGGCTCCCTGCCTGCTGTCATCATGCTGCCCTTCGACGTACAACTCTACCATGAGCCGGCTGGCTTTCTCCTTCATGTTGCTGCTTGGGACTCTGGTCTCTGTCATTATGATTCTCCCAGGCATGGAAGAAAATCTTAAAAAGGTACATTAGATAAGATGAGTTTAGATCAAATGTAATGATCTACATGGTGGTGTGGGGCTGTTAATAATCTCCTAAGGCCCAAGTGTCCTTAAATTTCCTTAAACCGCATGTCATTTTTCATTCTAGTTAAAATAGGAAAATAATTGAGGTTGCTGTAACCCAGCAACAGTGATATTGGGGAGCAGCTGGACAGAATGGCTGGACTGTGTGTATTTTTCTTCCAGAAGTCTCAGAGGAATCAATACTACAGAGCATTCTAGCTGACCTAGTTTAAACCTTGCCTGTCTTCCACCTTTTATTTAATTTGTGTGCTCTAATGCTGTCAGATTCCAGGTTTCTGCATGGGTGGCACAACCATACCTGGCATAGAGAACAAGGTGAATTGTGACATTATTGTGGGCTACAAGTCCGTGTACCGCATGTGCTTTGCCATGGCCTGCTTCTTCTTCCTCTTCTCCATCATCATGATCCGAGTGCGCAGCAGCAAGGATCCCCGAGCTGCCATCCAGAATGGGTTTGTATTACAGCTTCTGCGCCACAGCTCTGTGACACAGTGCTGCTCTCTGGTGGCTGAACATGGACACTGCACCTTTGAATTCTACACGGAATTAAAAACATGTTTGTTCTGTACATTTCTGGAATAACTTGACTTTTTCTCTTCTCAGCTTCTGGTTCTTCAAGTTCCTTGTGCTGGTTGGCATAACCGTGGGAGCTTTCTTCATACCAGATGGCACCTTTAATACAGGTATGAAGTAAATGTGTATTAGTGCCTTGGCCAGAGTGAGGCCCCCCTTTTCCCCTCAGGCTTTATTTTATCCACTTCCTCCAGCAGCAAACACCTTCACACACATCATCTGTGCCGTTCATGTTAAAATCTGGTGACATTTGGGTCACACTTAAGGCTTGGTATTTAACTTTAGTCGTTCACCAAGATGAGTCTGTACCAAGTATTGACAGCTATCATGTATTGAAACCTTGCAGTTAGTGTTTGCTCAGATTTCTACTTTTTTCAATTAGTTCCTTGATCAGAAAGTCTGTGATTCTAATTATAACTTTCAGTGTTGTACAGTTTTGTTTAGGGAGTTTTTAACCTGTTTATTGTAATGGTTTATGTAATGCATGTGTTGTATTCAGGGGATAAGCACTCCCATCATGTATAGTTTCACCCTATGCAGTTAGTGGGAATGTTGGAGAACTTTTAAGTGGTCAGTTCTGTTGTTTCTGTCTGTTCACTGCTAACTGTGTGTTTATATAACAACCAGAATGGACACGTTTTGCTTTAATCCACTGCTCTAAGAGTCAGTGCTAGAAATTGACACCTCTGTTGCTGCTCAGACAGCCACCTTCTAAGTACTTTTCTGTCTGGGCAGTGTGGTATTACTTCGGCATGGTGGGCTCTTTCATTTTCATCCTCATCCAACTCATCCTTCTGGTGGACTTCGCCCATTCCTGGAACCAGTCCTGGGTGGAGAACGCAGAGAACGGAAACCGAAAGTGTTGGTTTGCAGGTACTTGAAGAGGAAACGCAACCTCAGCATCCACCAATAAGCCATTAAGTGCTAGTTCAAAATGTAGAGTTTGTCCAGTGTCTTATTGTATGTATTTGATGCTGCCAGTAATTCATAGATTTTTTTTTTTTTTTTTGGTTATTTTCTCACAATTTTTATTCCAAAACTAATGTTCCCCTGGAATTTTTTAAATCACAGGTACTTTTCACATTGCAAGAATTAATTAAACTCTGGAAATAAGTCATATTCTTGCATTTCTTTCAGATTTTTCTACCAGTGTAGAACTGACAAATGATGCAACAGTTATTACATCATCATAGTTACATCAGATTTGAGTTTGAATATAGTAATTCTAGTTCAGTCTTACTGATATTATGATCAGACTCCAGCTGCTGAATGTTGCTTCATTAAACAGCCTTTTTTAATCTAATGCTTTAGCTCTTTGCTCATGTTTTGCTTGCAGCTCTAGTGTCTTTCACCTTTGTCCACTATGCCTTGGCTTTCACTGCCGTCGTGCTGTTCTACGTCTATTACACCAAACCTGATGACTGCACAGAGCACAAGGTCTTCATCAGCCTCAACTTCATATTCTGCATCATTGTGTCTATTGTGGCAATTCTTCCCAAAGTTCAGGTAATGTATCCTTTAGAAGACAGATTGATATAAGTGTTAAAGAAGCTACTAAATGTTGATATTTGTTCCATAACTCTTGAATTTCATGTTCTGTACTCTACCAGTACATTATGTAGGGATATTATCAAGAAACTAGAAAATTGCATTTTCTGAAGAAAATGCGTATGGATGCTGAGTGCTGAAGGATCGCCCTGAAAATGCTGAACATTTTGCTGAACCAGCTGAATGGTTTTGCTAGTTGAAAGTAAGCTGAAGTAGAATTTTCCCATTCATTTGAATGGGGAAAGATGATCAAAATAAAGCTAAATATTTCAAGAGTGTGAAGTTTAGAAAACTTCTGAAGAGAAGCATGAATGTTCTTGAAGAGTTGAACATTCTGATAGCTGAAAGAGCTGAAAGTATAGCTGAAAACATAGTATGGATGCTGAATCAGCATCCATACAATAATAAAGAAATAAATAATTGGAAAACATAGTATGGATGCTGAATCAGCATTCATACAATAATAATAATAATAATTGGAAAACACAGTATGGATGCTGATTCAGCATCCATACAATAATAATAATAATAAAGACCAGGATATCATAGTATGGAGGCTGAATCAGCATCCATACAATAATAATAATAATAAAGACCAGGATATCATAGTATGGAGGCTGAATCAGCATCCATACAATAATAATAATAATAAAGACCAGGATATCATAGTATGGAGGCTGAATCAGCATCCATACAATGAGGCTACCTGGTATTTAATGTTCAATCTAGAAAACAAGCTTGAAACACCTTAACATTTGTTCTAGACCTTTTACTATATCTGAGCGAGGACAAAATGGCGGAACAGTGGAGACGGTGATTTATGTTCTGACTCATCTCATGTCTCCTCAGGAGGTTCAGCCCACCTCAGGCCTGTTGCAGGCCTCCCTCATTTCCCTCTACACCATGTATGTCACCTGGTCAGCCATGAGCAACAACCCCAGTGAGTAAATGCATTTTACTCACAGCTTGAACCAGGATGACTAACTTTGTGAAGGGGTGCAAAGAAAATATTTGTTAGAACTCTTATAAGCCCTTGTCGCTTTAATAGCCACTTGTTGTCATTGCCTTCTATTTATTCTATTGTCTGTGTTTCGGACATCAGACCGTCAGTGTAACCCCAGCCTGCTGAGTTTGGTCCAGCCCGTCAGTCCAACTCCACCACCAGGACCTGCCCCAGGAACTCCAAAAGTCCAGTGGTGGGATGCACAGGGCATCGTGGGATTGATCATTTTCTTGTTCTGTACTCTTTATGCCAGGTATATGCTATTACTGCTGGTGTTTTTAAATTTCATGTCATTGTGACTTGCTTTTATAAGCAGAAGACATGTTTAGAAATAACTTGCAGTAAGTAAGTGATGGATACATCACTGAATGCAAAGTTACATGTTCGTTCTGAGGTGAGATTTTGCTTAACAATGCTGCTTTTGTCAGCTCAAGGGGACTGCAAACCAAAAGCTCATTTGAAATTGACATTGCAGAACCTTTGCATCATTTTGTAAGATGATATTGCCAAGGCTGCAACAGCACCCCAGTTTTAATTATCTTGAAGAAAAGCACCCAAGTGAACACAGTGGAAGGCTACGAACTTCTTGAACTTTAAGGATGTTTAAAAGCAGCCAAGCTGCTGTCAGTTTCAGTCACAAGACAAAGTGCAGTGTCTTTGAGGAAGCAGGACCATTTATACAAAAGCTTTTGTTTGTGAGCAGCCTTGCACTGATTAACACCACTGTAGTACTGTGGTGGGTGTGGGTCGGCTTGGTCAGGAATGGACCTTATATAGGATATGATATGATATTATTGGGTTAGGCTGATCTGTTGACACAAGTCGAGCAACATTTGCAGTGTTTTGAGCAACTTTAATGAGAAGACCAACATGTTTCGGCATGAAGCCTTCGTCAGAGTCTGTTAAAAGCACACGACAAAGAGTCCTATATGTTGTCAGACTTTTGTTTTCATTTAGTTTTTTCCTTGTCTGTGCACCTTGACAGTGGGTGAAGTTGTGCCAGAACTTTCTGCTGCAGCTGTTAACACAACTTCTCAGCATGCAGAATAAGAAAGAGGGCTATCATTTTTTTCTCACAAATGTTACATTTCTTTATTTAAATAGCACTTTATCATTTGCTGCTCTGTGTTCATGACTGCCACAGCATCCGCTCATCCAACAATGCCCAGGTGAACAGGCTGATGCAGACTGAGGAGGGCGAGGGTCTGACCGCCTCCCACGAGGCCACCAAAGGAGAGGACGGAGTCCATCGGGCCATGGACAATGAAGAGGATGGAGTCACCTACAGCTATTCCTTCTTCCACTTCAGCCTCCTTCTGGCCTCCCTCTACATCATGATGACCCTCACCAACTGGTACATGTAAGTAACTGTGATTAGTTGTTGTTCTTGGCCAGCTCCTTTCATATTCTGCATCATTGTGTCTATTGTGGCAATTCTTCCCAAAGTTCAGGTAATGTATCCTTTAGAAGACAGATTGATATAAGTGTTAAAGAAGCTACTAAATGTTGATATTTGTTCCATAACTCTTGAATTTCATGTTCTGTACTCTACCAGTACATTATGTAGGGATATTATCAAGAAACTAGAAAATTGCATTTTCTGAAGAAAATGCGTATGGATGCTGAGTGCTGAAGGATCGCCCTGAAAATGCTGAACATTTTGCTGAACCAGCTGAATGGTTTTGCTAGTTGAAAGTAAGCTGAAGTAGAATTTTCCCATTCATTTGAATGGGGAAAGATGATCAAAATAAAGCTAAATATTTCAAGAGTGTGAAGTTTAGAAAACTTCTGAAGAGAAGCATGAATGTTCTTGAAGAGTTGAACATTCTGATAGCTGAAAGAGCTGAAAGTATAGCTGAAAACATAGTATGGATGCTGAATCAGCATCCATACAATAATAAAGAAATAAATAATTGGAAAACATAGTATGGATGCTGAATCAGCATTCATACAATAATAATAAGAAATAATGGATAACATAGTATGGATGCTGATTCAGCATCCACACAATAAATAAAGAACAGGAGAGCATAGTGTGGATGCTGTAAAGCTGAATCAGCATCCATACAATAATAATAATAATAAAGACCAGGATATCATAGTATGGAGGCTGAATCAGCATCCATACAATAATAATAATAATAAAGACCAGGATATCATAGTATGGAGGCTGAATCAGCATCCATACAATGAGGCTACCTGGTATTTAATGTTCAATCTAGAAAACAAGCTTGAAACACCTTAACATTTGTTCTAGACCTTTTACTATATCTGAGCGAGGACAAAATGGCGGAACAGTGGAGACGGTGATTTATGTTCTGACTCATCTCATGTCTCCTCAGGAGGTTCAGCCCACCTCAGGCCTGTTGCAGGCCTCCCTCATTTCCCTCTACACCATGTATGTCACCTGGTCAGCCATGAGCAACAACCCCAGTGAGTAAATGCATTTTACTCACAGCTTGAACCAGGATGACTAACTTTGTGAAGGGGTGCAAAGAAAATATTTGTTAGAACTCTTATAAGCCCTTGTCGCTTTAATAGCCACTTGTTGTCATTGCCTTCTATTTATTCTATTGTCTGTGTTTCGGACATCAGACCGTCAGTGTAACCCCAGCCTGCTGAGTTTGGTCCAGCCCGTCAGTCCAACTCCACCACCAGGACCTGCCCCAGGAACTCCAAAAGTCCAGTGGTGGGATGCACAGGGCATCGTGGGATTGATCATTTTCTTGTTCTGTACTCTTTATGCCAGGTATATGCTATTACTGCTGGTGTTTTTAAATTTCATGTCATTGTGACTTGCTTTTATAAGCAGAAGACATGTTTAGAAATAACTTGCAGTAAGTAAGTGATGGATACATCACTGAATGCAAAGTTACATGTTCGTTCTGAGGTGAGATTTTGCTTAACAATGCTGCTTTTGTCAGCTCAAGGGGACTGCAAACCAAAAGCTCATTTGAAATTGACATTGCAGAACCTTTGCATCATTTTGTAAGATGATATTGCCAAGGCTGCAACAGCACCCCAGTTTTAATTATCTTGAAGAAAAGCACCCAAGTGAACACAGTGGAAGGCTACGAACTTCTTGAACTTTAAGGATGTTTAAAAGCAGCCAAGCTGCTGTCAGTTTCAGTCACAAGACAAAGTGCAGTGTCTTTGAGGAAGCAGGACCATTTATACAAAAGCTTTTGTTTGTGAGCAGCCTTGCACTGATTAACACCACTGTAGTACTGTGGTGGGTGTGGGTCGGCTTGGTCAGGAATGGACCTTATATAGGATATGATATGATATTATTGGGTTAGGCTGATCTGTTGACACAAGTCGAGCAACATTTGCAGTGTTTTGAGCAACTTTAATGAGAAGACCAACATGTTTCGGCATGAAGCCTTCGTCAGAGTCTGTTAAAAGCACACGACAAAGAGTCCTATATGTTGTCAGACTTTTGTTTTCATTTAGTTTTTTCCTTGTCTGTGCACCTTGACAGTGGGTGAAGTTGTGCCAGAACTTTCTGCTGCAGCTGTTAACACAACTTCTCAGCATGCAGAATAAGAAAGAGGGCTATCATTTTTTTCTCACAAATGTTACATTTCTTTATTTAAATAGCACTTTATCATTTGCTGCTCTGTGTTCATGACTGCCACAGCATCCGCTCATCCAACAATGCCCAGGTGAACAGGCTGATGCAGACTGAGGAGGGCGAGGGTCTGACCGCCTCCCACGAGGCCACCAAAGGAGAGGACGGAGTCCATCGGGCCATGGACAATGAAGAGGATGGAGTCACCTACAGCTATTCCTTCTTCCACTTCAGCCTCCTTCTGGCCTCCCTCTACATCATGATGACCCTCACCAACTGGTACATGTAAGTAACTGTGATTAGTTGTTGTTCTTGGCCAGCTCCTACTCAGGCTGACTTTGCTCCAGCACTGACTTCCCGTCTCTGCTCTTGGCTCACCAGGCCCAATGCAAACTACCAGGTCATGGAGAGCACCATGCCAGCTGTCTGGGTGAAGATCAGCTCCAGCTGGCTCGGCCTGGCCCTGTATCTCTGGACCCTGGTGGCCCCGCTGGTGCTCCCCGACAGAGACTTCAGCTAAAAATTGTGAACTCTGTCAACACGTTGTCACTAGCTTCTTACTGTTTGCACCTTTTGAGGAAAGTTAACTTTAATGTTGTGCCATTCTAGATGAAAATGCTATATTGTTATCTAAATGCTGGTCCCCCCTTTTTCTGTGAACTGACGTTTTGCAGAGAGATGAGATTGTTTAGCTTCCATCACACATTCCAACCTTTCACCTCAAGAAATATTTCTCCTTTCCCCCACTATTACATATATTAGAACTGAGAGCATTATATGCCTTTTTGGCTAAGACCAAATGATCACTGTAGAAGTGATGGTTTGGCTTAGTTTAACCAGATTTACCTTGTGCTCCATACATCATACTTTTCCTTATTCTCCTTGAATCCATTTGATTCAAGGTGTTTAGGTGCTTGAGGTTCACTTTTTCTATTTAGCTACTTTATCTTTTTTTAATTAATGGTTTTATTTTCGTGCCCGGTTTTAAACAAAGTGCCTTATTATATTTTGCACGCAGTTATTCAAGGGGACCAAAGTTTTTCTAACATTTAGCTTTGAGTGTAAAGTTCCTCAGTATATGTTCACTTTTCAGTTTAATCAATAAAGTTGACATTCTGTTTAACATCTCTCATCAGTGCGGGCGACACTTCAGTCCTGCAGGTGAGGCTGTTGTCTGTCAAATTAGACTGGAGAATCGATGTCAGTCTTTTGTAAGACTTAGACTACGTTTACACTGCAGGTCTTAATGCTCAGATCGGATTTTTTGCCGAAATCCGATTTTTTTTTTGCACTGTTGTTCACACTGTCATTTAAATGCGAATGCCATCTGTCTCATGTGTGAACGGTATACAGCCCTGAAGTGACCCGCATGCGCAGAAGAGGACGTGACGTCAGACGCAGCGTACTGTGTTTGCGGAAATAAAAATGGATGTGGCTCGTGATAGCGATGTACGTGTGCGTAGCGATGTACCTGACAATTTGCAATCGAAATAAAGACATAATAATAAGAATATCAAGAAGAAGGAGAGCACATATATATTGCTTATGGCCTTTTGTGGAGCAGTGGCTGCTACCTCTGTACAGAGGAATGTGTGGGTGCGGAGTTGGAGCCAGGACTGGTGGGATTCCGTGAGGGGCTTCACGGACACAGAATTCATTAATATTTTCCGAGTGAGAAGGGAAACGTTATCACCACCTGAATCACCGTTGTCTGCCATTTTTTTTAATTACCCTTCGCCTCCTCCAGCGCAGAATTGTGACGTCTGTCGCATTTCAATGACATAAAATTCGCATGAAATGCGACCTGGCTGTTCAGACTGAAGTCGCATTGCAAAACATCGGATACCTATCCGATTTAGGACCACATATGAAAGTGGCCTGGGTCGGATTTGAAAAAATCGGATTTGTGCTGTTCACACTGTCTTGAGGAAATTGGATATGGGTCACATTTGGGCAAAAAGATCGGATTTGAGTCACTTCAGCCTGCAGTGTGAACGTGGTCTTAGAAACCTGCATGTGGCCTGTTCTTCACAAATGGCAAACATGTCATCAAGTCTGGTCAGCATTTCCAAATGCTTCTGTGCCCCAGCCCCGACACTCCCCCACTCCATCACATGATGCTGCTTAAATGGGATTTCTTGTTTATTCTATGCAGGATTCCCCAGTTCAGCACACATTTGTCAAGTAATGTAGATGGAATGTGCTTTTCCTTTGTCATAAGATCAGCACGGGCAGGAGGGCTGAACAAAACGCAATTATACTTCACGATATTCATTCGAGGCTTGCTGGGGAAGAACGAGAACTGGCCGGCCTCTGAAGTTGTGGTGGCAAATCCCAGGCTTTGTAAATTCAACATTACTGTGTGTACTCTGTTCTACACAGTAATAATATGACATTGTCTTACACATTGACTGCCCCTGCCTTTCATGTTATTAACAAGCCCAGTTTGTATTATTAGGCATAACAAATCATGTTTGTTAGTGAAAGGGCAATCTGTGCTCCTCTTGGTTGGTGTTGTAGAAAGAAATGACATGCCTGATGTTTTGTCATGAGACTTCCCACATGTGGCATTGGTCCTCATTTATCTATGATACACTCTGTGAGATAAAACGATCAGTTATTTTGTCTGAGCCCATTTTTGGCACAGACTCCTTACGACTGTCTATTACCGGGCTTAAATCGTGAAATCTGAACCCAACATCAACACCAGTGTGAAATCAGTTGTTCACTGTCAATCAAATCTGATCAAACTATGTCTACACAGTCCTGACATAACCTGTTAGTTGAGTTTTTGAATGTTAAACTGTTAAGAGATAGCACAATAACAGAGTAAAGATACCAAATAGAGGACACATCAGGAAGCAGTCAGAGCCAGTGTTTCCTCTAATGACATAGAGACCATGAAGCAGGCTAATGTAGCACAGTGATCTGTTATGTTAGTAATCTGCCAATGGTTCTCTGGAAATTCAGCCTGCCCATGCATATAGGACATAACATTTGGTGGCTAATGACATCAGATGCAGGGACATAGACACCCCTGCTGCACCTTGGCACTGTGGGCCTTCTATAAATGGTGTAGCCCAGCCTCACACTCTGTGATCCACACGCTTTTGGAGGCCAGTGATAGTCCCTGACCCAGCTGTGAGCAGCAGGCCGGCCTGATGCCTTCATGTAATTGTAACCCACTTCAGGGTATGTACACGCTCTAGGTTCGTAGGAGCTTAAAGATGGAGCAATAACCAACACACGCTG